ATGGGTTCCAGTTTAGATTTAGATTGTCTATGAAGGGTGAAAAGACCTGTGCTACTAGTAGTCGATCAAAAAATGTCATCTACTACTAGTACACAGATTCTCTATTTGGTTGGCCTGTCCATCTATCTATCTATCTGTCTGTCTGTCTGTCAAAAGTACATCTTCTGCTGTGGATTAGCTTGAATCACCTAATGGGTCATTGTTCCTCTATACATTGAATCTATATAATTAAATTGAATTTTCAGTCAGGCACACATAGTGGAAGTATGTATTTTTGACACAGATACATCTTGTCAACCAAAAATATGTATGCACATACATATTTTTTTGGAGTCCATAAATCAAGACTTTTGAATCGCAAAGAGTCAGGGGAGCCAAAAATGTGCACCAGAATTCAAAAAATTCTTGAGGCATGAAGAGCCCAGAGCTATTGTTCTCCATATTTGGTAAGAATGCAGTTATTTTCTGTTAATTTCAACAAGTGAAATTCTGTATTCCAAATTAAGCACATGTAGTGAATCATAATTCAATATATATGATTCTATGAGTTAAGAAGTACATACTGAATCCCATAGAATCATAAACATAAACATAGAGTATGTCAGCATTAGAGCTATTAATGGTAAGTCCCATACTAGTAGTGGCAAGTTATTGGCAGTCCCCGTACAAATACTAATAGAAATTTTTAGCTCATTTTTACAGCAGTTAAAACCAGTTAAAAATACCCAGCAGTTTGCAGTGTTCACTACTAGTATGGCATCCCAACTAGTAAGTAGTAATGGAGGTGATCCAGTAATAAGCACTAATATTAATTCTCAAGTACTAGTAAGCACTGATTTTATCTCCGCAGAGTAGTAAGGACCGCTAATAGAAATATTTTAGGACTCGATAGTTTTGTGTGTAGAGGGGGGGGAGAGGGGAAATAAAGACAGGAAAATGAGAAAAAATTGACACCGGGGGAATTGCCTATGACTTCCCAGTACCAGACTTACCATTGATAGTCCTAGTCAGCATACAGTAGAATATGGGAATGACACACTCTTCCCATTTTTGAATGAAAGAAATCAGGGCCCTCCAGTCAGAACCAGCAATGCACGTGGGTCCCCCCTTTGAAATCGAAAATCAGGGGCATGATTTCGTGTTTTTTTTTTCAAAATAAAATTACCCATGTTTCTAAAATGTGGGTTATTTTTCCCATGTAATAACCCATGATTCTAAAACGTGGGTTATTTTTCACCAAAAATAACCCATGTTTTAAAACGTGGGTTCCTGGGTTAACCCACGAATAACCCATAAAATAACCCATAAATTAACCCATGAAAAACCCACAAACCTGCTGGGCCTTTTTTCAAAAATTAAAAACAGTGATTAAATAGTAACGTTAATGACTAAAATACTTAACATCCTTGGTTCTCCATCAACCCAGATGACTGTAAATTAGTGGGTTATTTGTGGGTTCCAGGGTTCTTTCGTGGGTTATTTTTCAAATTAAAAAACCCACGTTTTAGAAACGTGGGTTATTCTTCCCATGAAATAACCCATGATTCTAAAACGTGGGTTATTTTTCAMCAAAAATAACCCACGTTTTTCTAGGGGAGGAATTCGAAAAGGGGGATGTGCGCGTGGGTACCGGAGGGCCCAGAAATCATTCTGTGATACACGTAAATCATTAGAGTTGGAGCTTAGGATCATTAAGCTGCGCGAAATAACGGTCAACGCGCGCGCATCTCTTCTTCGCTTCTTCAAGAACACAAATGGRGAGCAGCAGGCTCAATGAAACTASTCGTAGCAAGAACRACAAGGCGAGGCTCTACCGTACAGAAAGCAGCAATCAACATCCAAAATCCAACATACTACGATAGCTCTTCGTTTAACCTTTAAGGTGGACAGTATACAAAGAGCAGGAACAAAATAATAGACCATGGTCAAAGTTTGGTATGAACCACCTCCCGGAGGACCTCGAACGCATCTCAATCGCGGCRGTTACTACGTTGAGAGCGCGAGAACTCCTGCAATCATCACCAAGATGAGCAAGGCACGCCCGATTACTGTTATTCTTCCTGCCATTGCCGCGATCTCTGCAATGTGCTATGTTCCATTGAGTAAGTAATGCTGGTCAATATGGCGCAGGGATCTGAATTTTTTATTCATCGAGGTGACGAAACTGCTTGACACAAAACAAAATGACACTGGAATCTAAACCGATGCACCATCTTGGCTTTTCTTGTCTCCGTTCTCCGATACATATTATTCGCGATGACGCMAATGCCAACAATAGTGGGCCAGAAGGGACTCCCAAGCACTTTGAATCCAGAGCACGTAGCAGCACAGAGAGCTTACATGCGTTACCACAATATGAACCCCATTTTCGGAGTCTCCAGTAAGCGTGCGCGTTCTGCCGATCCCGATCATTAATTTCCTTGTCAAAAAATAACGTCTCTTGACATAGAATATTGAGTTCAGAAGGAAAAGAATAGAATGGTATGACCGAAAATGGTATAGTCGCCATGTTCGAAACAAATGCACGTTAAGAATGGACGATTGTAGCAATCGGAAATTTCGTCTAATAATTGATTAGAAAACAAAGAAATCTAGCGGAATATCATAGTTCTTATCCTTKGTGCTATTAGCTCTATCATCATGCAAAAATTTTGAAGAAAGAAATCCAGATCGGAGTTTGCTGTGGTCGTAAAATCTAGTCAGGGACGTAGTTTTGAAAAAGCAATGAACCTCCCCTTGCCGTAGTAGGTAGTGTTTCCTGAAATATTTTTTGTGCCAAGAAACGATAAGTCCAAATCGGGWCGTTTATGCATCTACCACAGTGAACATGTAGTTTAAAATAGCTGCAGTTATTGTAGGTGAAATCCWTCCTTATCTTTTGGATTCATCGCACCAAAATTTACCCTCTTGCCAACACTGAATCATTGTCTCCCAGTAGACAAACCATACAAAGCGCAGTTTCTTTAATAACGACGTACAACTAAATCTAAGACAGGAACACTAGTACAATAGAATTGACTCTAACAAATGAGGCATAAAGATAGGCTTCYAAATGGTTAYATACTTGATTTCTGAAGCGATCTAYACTGAAAGAATCCTCGGAGATGACAAGATACAACACTTGTCGCTGGCATTCGTTTTGCCGATTGATGCTGATGCCGTACTGCTTACCATGATGATTTAGTCCCCAAACACAATACAGCGATTTCCGTGAACGATGACCCTATCATCTAAGTGCGCCTCAATAGCTTTCAGTAACACGTTCCTTTCTAAGACKCGCCCCTTCTTCATGAGCTGTTTCACCGAATCACGGTGTGAAACGGTGGTTACATCCTGCTCTATGATTGGCCCATCATCRAGCTCTTCTGTTGTGTAGTGAGCCGTTGCGCCGATCAATTTCACCCCACGTTCGTGGGCCTGATGGTAGGGTGACCCTCCAATGAATGCCGGTAAAAAGGAATGATGAATGTTGATAATACCGTCGGGAGGAAAATGATTCAGAAATTCTGGGCTTAGAATCTGCATGTAGCGTGCAAGGATCACGACATCGACTTCTTTTAGTAATTCGAGCTGTCTTAACTCATGCAGAGGAAGCGTAGATTTGTCTGACCTTGTGTAATCATCTTCCGAAGTCGCCCCAGCTTTAGATGTTGGTTTCTCGATGGGTGTGACGTKGAAGGGRATRTCAAAGGTTTCAACGATAGGGCGCAGCGCGTCGTGATTGGAAATGACAACATGAATGTCTGCATCGAGCTCTCTCGCTTTGTGTCTCAATAGCAATTCCCACAAACAATGATCGTATTTCGAAACCAAGATCCCCAATTTCTTCTTTCGATCTCTCCAATCCCAGAGAGCTTTCAATCTGTTAGAAGGGAACAACTCAGTCAGGTCGTCCTCGCAAGCAACCTTGTCAACAGCTTTGAAGCTTGTGTTTGTTCCGTGGATTGCACTCTTGTCGTCGTTGTAGTGAAAGCTAAGCCGAGAAAAGAACATGTTTTGCCGGATGTCTGTCCATTGCTCGTGTTTCACAATATTGCAATTRTGACGATTCAACACTTTAGTACACGCCACCAAGATCCCATGACTGTCTGGTCCAACCACTCGCAAAGTGCCCAACTGAAAATTCTTTTGTTTGCTATTCGATACTGAGGCATTGCCCTCGCTTGCTGTCGCAAWTGTTCTTGTTGGAATAAACAAACGCCTTCTGGTGAAATCGAAAGAAGAAAGAGACACCGTTGAAGAGCGATAGATGAAACGAGATGAAACACTTGCCGTGRGAATAGGCAACATGGTAAGCACCGGCATGTCCGTTTTCCCAGTGCCCAAGGATGGTCCTATTTGCCTTAATGCTTCTTGTACTTCACTTYGGAGGTTCTTGACGAAAACAATATTTGAATCGCTCAGATCAACCAAGAACGAAGACCMAGTGTCAAGAACGATCGCTCAGTACGGTACAGCACTTGTACGTACCGGTACGTACTTGGACTTACAACTTCTATCTACGAGTACGAGTACGAGTACCAGTACCTACATTACCTACTCAATTTTTTTGAGAAGAATCATCCCATAGCCATCACAACAGGTACAATAAAAAATGGTCAGTCGCGAACTAATGTTGACTGCTGTAGGCAGAATTATCTTTTGGCGAATCAGTAGGAGTTGTACTGTAGGAACTTACAGCACGGCGGTACAACGAGTAATACGTGCTTGATTAAAAGAGATTTCCTTTTCATCAAGCATACCGTACAACTTGACTTAGGGAAGTTCATGCTAATACAGCTTTAAATGAAATGGACGATTCTACTAGATCAGARATTATTTGTACCTACATCAGCCATCGACAAATATTTTCCCTGTTGCCAACACCCTGTGATTTTATAAGCTTCAGCATTTGAGAAGCCGTACTTGAGATGCCCATACCTTCTTTCAGTGCTAGGATCTGAAGCTCAAAGTGAGATGTCTGGTACAAAGCTTCTGACAAGAAAGAGCCCATCGGGACAGTTTCTTTTTCAGGTACGATATCGAGACCATGGTTTACCAGTTTTTCTTCACTAGCCTTGTAGGAAGAAAAAGTATGTTTGATCTCTTCGCAAGCTTTCAAAAGAGTCGGCACAGAATCGTCGATCTCTTCTCGAGAAGCCATCTCGAGCTCTTCAATCCTGTATAGAATGTCAAAAAACTTCAAAACAGCAAGGGTTAAGGATTTGGTTTCAGCAGATGACTCAAGACCTTCCAGTAGCGCTAGAACTTTATCTCGATCTTCCCTATTGGTAAAAAGAATATTGGGAACAAAAGTTCGCTCAAGTATCTTTGTCCCTTCGGTGATCTCCACATTGAGTTTGTGTTCAATGTATCCATAAACGTTGCTAGTACCRAGAGAGCGATAAGATAAAGCTTCCTCAAACCAGGAAAACGGCAGCCCCAGCTTCTCAAGGAAATGTCTCTTTTTGGYATTTTCGGCACCGTCGTCGCAATAATTTTGCAGCACTAAATCCTTCGCTCGCTCAATCCGCCAAGTGGGCCCTTGATTGGCATTATCAGATAGGACATAGAGAAAAACATAAACCGCCCATTCCCAAAGTCCGTGAGATTTCAGCTGAAATGCATATCCATCCAGAAGCGTACACTCTTGTTCGGGGGTCAATGATGCTGATTCATAGATTGACGTTATCGACGATGCTAGGTGGAAAGAAACAGAAAARTTATTGCGATCACTTGTGTAACCCGATGGATCCACAACGCTTGACAAGGAAARTTCCGAACTTGGAARTGCGGCTTGGGTCCCAAGTCTCAGCAGTCGAAACAACGTACTCTCGACATGCCCATCGCAGTAGAGAGCCGATGGAAATGGTGCAACTCCATTGGAAACATCTGYTTCGTACTGCGTAATCGCAGATAACAACGTTTTACAAGAATTTTCCGGTTTTGCAAACATCAGTTTCATCACCATTCGTCGTTTCCAATCAAAATTTTGACTTCCTTTTGTTGAATGCTTGAAAATATTTTCCTCCATTCCAAGGTCTCCAGAAATTAAGCGATAAATCCGCGAGAGATTTTCATGCATCCCTTGCGCAATTCCTTGTTTCCTCCAAGCCATGACTTCTTGGAAGACATCTTTCCTACATTCGGGGCCCGATGCCAGTAAAATTGATAGCTGAAATAGATTTTCATCCTCGGCTATCTTTGTTGCTGTGGAGAGATCACCGCCACTGACYGCTGATAGGAGTGCTCGATACTTTTCGCGRGATACTCCGGCCTGATTGATTTCTTTCTGAACTTCAGCACTGCATGTCTCAACAAACCAGCGCGTGATCGAGATCATGCAGTGATTTTCAATGACATGACTTTCGGGCTTTCTAGCATCACCGTATGCAAGGATTTGACTGTTGGCTGTGTTATCCATAGTCTTTGTTTCTTGGAAAACCTGAAGTAACGAATAAGCGGAACCTAAAAATCCCTTTTTATCTTTCAAGACTTCGGAGTATGTCTCCAAAGTCTTCTTCAAAGAATTATTGKTGAGACCACGCGACGGCAATGAAAAAAGAGGACAGTCGCCTTCTCTATGGACTTCTTCTACGCGCATCTTATGAGCYTCCAAAAGCTTCGTTTCTAGGGGGATGTTCAATTCTTCAACCTTAGGTCTTTTTCTGATAAGAAATCTTTTGCTGTTTTTCGCCAAGGATAAGAAAGATCCATTAGGACTCCAGCCAACGCGAAAAGATCGCCCCATCCGCAATCCAAAGTCTATGCTGCTTGACTTGTTGGTTGCGATGGATTTTGATTTCACAATTCTGGATGAAAAGCTCGGCATAGATTCAGCCTCTTGTAAGTCTTTCRAATCAGGAATGTATCTCACAGTTCCCAATGAACCCTTTTCCTCTGCAATAGAAATGCCTTCTTCCGAAAACGTGGCTGTAGCCTTTTCAATTTTCTTCCTCATGGCAACAGCTGCATTCTCCGCCTCAAGCGACGTTTGCATTTGGATAAACGCCTTCTCTGCTTCATCCATTATAGAAGCTTCAGTCATCGAATCGATTGTTTTCATCGTTTGGTCTTCTTTCTCTTCRCTATCTCCATCAAGAATGAAACCACCTTTCATCTTGTATGGGGTGTCCTGTCGAGCCATTTTTTTGGAACCATCTTTGCTCGAAAGCGGGGAACGCCCCTCGCGTTCCCCGAACCTAAAATCCACTCTTCGTTCCCGATTCTCTGGATACTGTTTTAGCTGTTTCGTTGGCTTGTTTTCCATCTCTTCGTCGTCGTCTGAGTCGTCATCCAGGCCATACCGACTAAAATGTTTTACTCGCATAATCCATTCTCCGGTGGATGGGTCGTAGCCGAGCAATTCAGCGTCCATATTCTTTGTTACCCTGGCGACCTTCCTCGAAAACTTATCAGGATCATTGGGGTCTGGGGGGAAGACACCTTCCAATGTCAAAATAGCAGGACGGTTAAGTTTTGTACCGACTTCTGGTTTTCGACCATTCTCTTCTTCTTCGGTATAAATGGATACCGACTTAGGTTCAATGAGTATAATTCGATCCAAATTTGCCTCCCGGACATCCACGGCACCTTCCCATTCAACTTTTCCAACACCCGTTCGTGCTACGCAAAAGTTCGAAACAGCCGCCAAGTCTGCTGGTTCCATTTGTTTAAGTGAATCGATGGAAGGATGACAACTGTATCCCTCTTTAGAAAGAGTAGGTGCTACGGTTTGTTTCTTGTTTTTGCCAGGGGTGTCGGCCGAATTCTCAGAAGAGTCGACTGTCTGTTGATAATATTGTTGAGCCCGATCTAAGTTCTCGTCTCTTGGTGTGTCCGACGAACCATCCATTGCGGTYGTATTGAAGTTTTGGGGAGTGGATACCGGTTCTGGAGTGTTTGCTACTTTCTTYATGGACCCGAGACCTCCATTCAAAACGCYGCCATTTGCCTTTCTGGGCGTCGTGTTTGGTATATTGCTGATGACCTTCTTCTCTCCACCTCCCAAGGTAAGTTTCAACTTTGGTTTCGGAGATGGCGCAATGATCAAACGAGTCGCAGATGACGCAGCAACTGTTTCAGGTGCYGCCATCGGTTTTCCACCAGTTCCAAGCTTGCTTAAAGACTGGGGTATATTATTGCCATTGGTTTCTGATGGAGGAGAAGCAAATCCTCGTGGTCGAAGCTTTGCGTTCGACATTGGAGATGCTCTGTAAGAAGAAATTCTCGCTGGAGTGGTAGGAACAATCGTGCTTCTCTTGCTTTGACTTTCACTCAATGTTAGAGCCGTAACAGATGATGATTCCGCTGGTTTGTTTCGGAAGTTATCATTCTGCTCCATTTCCTTCCGCTTTGACTCGAGTGCGGCTAGTTGAGATGCCATGATTTCATTTGCGGCAGGAGGCATCACCGCGCCAAGCGCAGGTGGGGCATACGGAGCAGCTGCTTGAGGAGGCCCGGCAGGCGGTGGAGCTGGTGCTCCAAAGATAGATCCTGGYGCTGGAGCAGGGGCACCGAAGATAGATGGCGCCGCTGGGGCTGCCCCGAAAAGACCTCCTCCCGCTGGAGCAGGTGCAGGTGTTGAGCCAAACAAACCGGTCGATGGGACTGGAGCTCCAAAAGCACCAGTTGTTGCTCCTGAAGCAAAAAACATTGAATTCAAGCAAACAAAAACTGTGAGGAAACTATTACCAAATGTGTCAAAAGTAATCGAGAGGTATAACCGTCACCTATGATTGCGAAGAATTGCATATGAAACTCACCAAAAGCGGGCGCAGGAGTAGGAGCAGCACCAAAAGCTGGTGCGGGTGCCGGTGCCCCAAATAGACTACCTGTCGCTGGAGCGGGCGCCGGTGTTCCAAATAAACTTCCCGTCGGTGCAGGAGCAGCACCAAATGCTGGAGCAGGGGCAGGTGCAGGGGTTCCAAATCCGCCAAAACTGGTAGTAGGTGCAGGAGCAGGGGTCGAGCCAAATAATCCTCCCGCCGGTGCAGGTGATGGTGCCCCAAAGAGACTCCCTCCTGCTGGAGCAGGTGCCGATGCACCAAACAGACCTCCAGCCGGTGCAGGAGCCGCACCGAACGCTGGGGCTGGAGCACCAAATGCACCTGTTGCGGGTGCAGGGGCAGCACCAAAAGCTGGGGCTGCCGGAGCCCCAAATGCACCGGTTGCTGGTGCAGGTGCACCAAATCCGCCAAAAGTTGTTGCAGGTGCGGGGGCAGAACCGAAGAGACCTCCGGGAGCTGGTGCTGGGGCTCCGAAAGCAYTGGTAGCAGGTGCAGGGGCACCGAATGCACCAGCTGCAGGAGAACCGAATGCGCCAGTTTGAGCGCCGGCACTTCCTTTGTTTCCTAGACTATAATCTTCGAATCTAAGTTCCTCAGCCGATTTGGTGCTGTATTGTTGCATGGCAGAAATGGAATGTAATGTGATTTGACTTGTTCCATCTGGACGAACTGCCGGTTGGAAGGCAGCAATCTTGGTGCCTCCCGAACCAGCGGGAGCTGCAGGAGCTCCAAACAACCCACCGCTGGGTGCTGCAGCGGGTGCTCCGAACATCCCTGTGGCAGGAGCTGGCGCTCCAAAAGCCGGTGCTGGTGACGCACCAAATCCTCCTGAGCTTGCACCAAACCCACCGGGTGCCGGTGCAGGTGTACTCCCGAARAGTCCACCTGTTGCAGGAGCAGGTGCACTACCAAAAAGACCGCCAGTAGAAGGGGCCGGARCTCCGAAAGCAGGTGTCGTACTCGCACCAAATGCCCCGCCTCCACCGAAGCCACCAGCTGCGGGTGCTGGTGCTCCAAATCCACCTGTCGTCGGTGCGGCTGTACTTCCGAAAAGTCCACCGGTTGCCGGTGCTGGAGCACTCCCAAAGAGACCGCCAGGTGCTGGTGCAGGAGCTCCAAAAGGACTACTTGCAGCGGGTGCTCCAAAACCACCTGGGGATGGCGCTCCGAAACCTGTAGCTGGCGCCGGAGCCCCAAACGCTGGAGCGGGTGCAGCACCGAAACCTCCAGGAGCCGGTGCTGCTCCAAAACCGCCAGAACTACCGAATCCACCTGTGTTCGCCGCAGTGGATCCGAACGTATCTATTGTTTGTGGGTCGCGAGAACAAGAATGATAGATTAGAGAGAACTGGTTAGAGCCGAAGCAATAAAATTTCATATCTTGATCCAAAAATTAAGACGTTGACTTACTACCTCCAAAACCACCTGGAGCYGGTGCTGATCCGAAYGCTGGAGCAGGTGTTCCAAATGCAGGAGTGGAATTCGCGGGTTGGCCAAATCCACCTGCAGGTGAGCCRAATGGTGTTTGACTTCCACCAAACATGGCTAAATCTTAGTCGCTGCTTCTTTTTTWTATGGAATTGATTTGTGTTCAAGATGTAATATTATTTCAGAWCCGGATTCCACTGTTGTTGCCAATGATTTTRGGGGCTGGAACTGAGTGCACAATTCTCGGACTAGTCTTTCGTTTTTCGATAAAATTTGGGAGGTTTGGAAAAACCAGATTTGGAAAAACCAGATTGAGGTGGACGTAATAACTTCAGTTGTAAAAATAACGACAAACTCAAATGTATCACAAGTCGAAAAGGATTTCCGGTGAGCCAGCTGCTGGCGTTATCACAGCTGAAAAGTTTACAAAAAGCTTACWTATCTCGATTCCTATCTATCTCTACGAAATTGTGCAGGAAAGGCAATATGAATTGCTGTCGCCTGGAGCCGATCTTGCTGTCTCAAATGACAACCTTATCGAGTTATTGATCCCGGACGCGGTAATGCGTACAGTAGTTCGATATACCGGTACGGCCACAGCAGTTCTACCGGCTTCATCCGTTTATCTCTCGAGTTTTGTCGCTGGCTCTGGAATGGGTTCAAAAACCTCGAGGAGTCAATCGATCGATGCAGGCTACGGTACGTACAGTACGGTAATGCCCGTACGGTACAGTATCTGAAGACGATGGCGATAAATCCGCTGAAAGTGGGGGCAGTACGGGTTGCGGCCAGACGATCAATGAAAGAAGATTCAATTACT